TGCTATTGCACGAGTCACCATCGAAGGAGGGTTCCTGATTCGACATTTCAACCAAATCTGGAACCGGATGTCGTCGTTCTCACCCAGAATCCAAGAACCCATGAATGAAGTGTATCTACCTTCAATGGGCCAGTCAATCACGAGTCAAGAAGATTTCATGGCTACTGACAACATGTCTGTTCCTCCTACGACCATGGATGATGCGTCTGTTTCTACACCGTCTACTAAAATTGATTCTACAACTTTGTCCACGACTTTGGACAATGTGTCTGTTCCTACATCGTCTTCTGCAACTGTTTCCTGTGAGCAACTTCCTCCACCTGAAAAGATTGTTCGTCGTTCTGAACGGCTCTTACATCACCCACGGTTTAACTACAAGGAAGGAATTCGCCGCTACCGTTGATTTCTTTTCCGTTGAAGGAAAGAAGTGTTGGGATGTGTGCCTACATGCGAAGATGCGGAATTGCTATATGAAATTATGCGAACTGAATGTATGCGATGATGTAGGCTTTTGTCGGTTGTTGATTAGCAACGCAGAAAGAATCGGACTCCCGAGCTATAAAGACTTCTGTATTGAGTAAAGATTAATTTGTGAGTTAACACGCACAAGCTGAGTTATTATTATATTCATATTACGGACCTTCCTGTACTATGTAACTCAACAGTATGCTAGGACCAGTATTCATAGTCAGATCTTATACTCAAGACCATCGTGAATTTATCTAAAGATGCTGTATGGAACATTTCATTGGCTACGGAGTATCTAAAGATGATCTTAAAACAGTCTTGAATATAAAATCTAATTATGAATTCTGGTCCTAGTGTACATACAAATGTTCATATGTACACGGAAAAAAATGATGTTTCAAATAACAGTGTAATTGAAACTACAAAATTCGTGATATCATCTTAAAAAATAACTTTTTTTAATAAAAAAGGCTTAAAAAGATGCCAAGTATAAACGTCATCCAATTAAAAATTATATAATTTAATTATTTGGATAACTTTTATTTAAGAAAAATTTTAATTTTCTCCCTCCCTCCAAAGTATCTTCTCTACAAAAGTAATGATATCATCAAATGGCGCCAACTAAACTGAATATTTATAAAAACTAGGTACATTATTATTTTTTATATTAAAATGTTATAGTCAAACAATCGAGCATAAAATTTTATCGGAAGAAATAAAGGAAATAATATTAATAAGACAAATTTTTAATACTTATTCCATAACAGTTTAATGCAAATAAATTTAATACAAATAAATATTTTATTAAAAGATCGCCTTTTCTAATTTAATTGTGGGATACATATCGAGCCTGATTCATGACATCATTGTTTATTAAAAAAACTTGGCGCTGCTAAACCAAATGTTAATTGCGCTCTTCCTCTTTCCTTACAAAGTGTTAAACTCTTTCTTTCTTTTGTACATACGTGTGCTATATTATCACACGTGTGTATCCCATAATTAAATTAGAAAAGGCGATTTTAATAAAATATTTATTTGTATTAAATTTATTTGCATTAAATTTTTATGGAATAAGTATTAAAAATTTGTCTCATTAATATTATTATTTTCTTTATTTCTTCCGATAAAACTTCATGCTCGATTGTTTGACTATAATTACCATATTCAGGAGAAATTCTGATAATGCAAGATATACAAAGATTATTTCTCACTTTTATCTATACGCTTAATGAAAATATTAAGTGACTAGCAACAAATAAAAGTTGGTATATCCTTAGTTTGTGTAAATAAAAAGGTTCAAATTTTTATGTTTCAGTGTTAGATTCAAGCGGCAGATTTAAACCAGGGTTCCTCTACGGAAACAATTATTGGTTAGGAAGTCGTAGTCAGTGCATCGATACAATGAATACGAATCCTATACAGATTTCAGAACAAAAAATGTTAAATAACATTCTGTATCATGATCCGCAAAAATTTCTGCCTTTTAAAATAAATTATTTTGCCGCCCATATTAGACACAACAGTACTCTACAATATCACACATATGTATATAACGAGGTAAGTTTATAAAATTTCTATAAAACGAAATACGACACGAAAAACATAAAATACGACCAAGAGATTCCATTGAAATATTAGGTTTAATAATGAAACGTAATATCATTTCATATTTGATATTTAAATATATAGAAAGGTTGATTTCAGGATGTGATTACGCTCGGACTCTGTTTACCAGCATCATGCACTATACAAAACTTAAATTCCATATTGGAAAGTGTACTTCATGATAGAAGTATCTTCATCGATGATCTCTATTCAACTAACTTACAGCTGATCCGGATAAAAGATTTCAAAAAAGATAATAAATCGCTATCCTATGGTGCATTAGGTTTCTTCAGGTACGTCATAAAAAAACATGAAAATTATTTCACTCATATAATAACAATTTTACAAACATTAACAACATATGTAAATATTATACATGATTTTTACATTAGTTATGTAAAAGTGTAAAAATTAATAAAGAATTATTCTATTTGCAGTGTAGTTTTAATAGTTTTTCTTATGGCAATAATCGGAACAGTATACGATATTATTTGGTATCAAAAGCTGGCAAAAGGAAATGAGAGGACTAATACTAACCGCAGTAAGTATGACTTCCGAAACTTTTAGAAAAATTTCTATTTTAAGTTTTTAAAAGACCACATACAATTTCGATATACATATGTATTATAGCTTTTACTTCCTACAAAACAGATTCTATATCGAAATTATTTAAATAATTAAAAATAATAATTATTATTATTAACAATTAATAATTCATTAATTAATGAATTATGTGCCATTATTTTTGCAATTATCTAATATTTTAAATTATTAATAATCAGCAATACAATTTTTGCGTACTATTATTGTATATTATGTGTATGCACCACTTATAGAGATTTTCTTTATTCAATATTAATAATTCTTACTTAAAGCATTAAAATTTTTTTCTTAATCATAAAAATTTTTAATTATGACGATCAGGTCGAAACTACATGTCCCAGCAAGTAGAAAAAATTTTCAATTTACCTTTCTATCCGGAGAATAACATAGGAAAAATATTAAGATGTTTCTCCGTATACAGCAACACAAAAAACATATTTAATACAAAATTAGAAGCCGGTACAATACCAGTCATTCATGGCTTAAAAGTTTTAAGCATGTATGGCTTAATTATGCTCCACACCCAATATTTTTCATGGGATACTCTCGGTAAGTAATTTAAACTGTATCTGTAAAATAAATTTCTCTGATGTTTTTTACACGCATAACAAAGATTGTTGATGTTCACAGACAATAAAGTAGAAGTATGGAGATTCCTCGAGGATCATATGTATTTAATGGACATCGAAGTTCTAGGAGTCGAAGTATTCTTTTTGTCAAGTGGCTGTTTTATAACGTATTCATATTTGCGACAACAACCGAGCGCAAAAAAGGAGCTTCAAAATTACAGACAGAAGATAATATATCTTCTCACACATACAACAAAAAGATTTATAAGGTATGTTATCGTGATTATTGCAGACAGCAATAAAAGCAATTCGATAATAAATAATAGTATCCAGTAAAGAGTTAAAAGATAATAATAAATAGTTCTTCGATAGTGTATAGTATATACATTATATACTATAGTGTATAGTATACATTTCATCTGGCATGTCGTGAATAGCGTTAAAATGGCAATTATTTCACGAACACAATAACAATATGACAGATATTAACAATAAATGTGATTAGTGGAAAGATGTGAAAATATTATAAATAATTTTTATCTTAATGTTTTGAAAATATGAAAAATCAAGAAAGAAATGTTTGCAGAGTTCCGCGCTTTGGTATTTTCTCTTATTATTGTACGCATCGAAATAATTTTTTATTTTCCACACATTTATAATAAAATTTTGTTAAGGTTGACGCCGGCTTACATGATAGTGATTGGACTATCAAAATTAAGTTCTGATTGGTTCGATAAGACATCGCAATTTTACATGTATGAGAGGTCGCACGAAACTTGTCCAAAGCACTGGTGGATAAATCTTTTGTACATAAATAATCTTTTTCCTGTTGATGACATGGTACGTACATATTTGGATCAGCTAAAAATTATGTTTAGAGGCGCATAAAAGTTTCATTCTACATATAATTTTTACTGCAGTGCGTGAGTTGGACCTGGTATCTAGCTAATGATATGCAATTTTACATACTCGCTACCATGCTATTGATTTTTTCGACTGTGTAAGTTAATCGAATACGGATGATTTTATAACTAGTACTTTGTGTATATTTTAATAAATATATATTATAAATTTCAGATACTTTTACGTTGCTGTTACGATATTGAGTATACTTTTAATAGGCTCCACTATTCTTAGCGGTTATATTTCATACGTTCACAAATATACTCTGATGTAAGTTATCAAAATAATGTGTTTATTATGAAATTAATTAAGAGGACCATTTTCTCATTGTTGCAGGTTAACTGAACTTGCTGAACTTAGGGATGTGTTATATTCACCACCATGGATGAGAATAAATCCATATATTATTGGAATGATTGTAGGTTACGTTTTAGCAAAATTGAACAATACTTTGGTCTTGAAAAGGGTAAAATATTAATTTTACTTTTATTGTATACATATACAGATCTGTATCAATCAACTATATGTCATAGCATAAATAAAAATGTATTATAATAATTTTACATATGTATATTTCAGAAAATTATAATGTTGTGTTGGTTGCTTGCTAGTGCTTGCATTAATGGTGTATTATTTGTGTTTTACAAGCGACGCCCATCTGTTCTGGCTAGTGCTATTTATGTAGCACTACACAAAATAATTTGGGCTATAGGTCTAGCATGGATTGTAATAGCGTGTTCCACTAAACACGGAGGTCCGTTTTTTTTATTAGTATACATTCTTATTAAATTGTTACACTTTTAAGATAATAGTGATATTTTATATTTTAAGTTTTGTCATCGTTTCAAAACATGTCATTTTATTTATTGTATGCTCGGTTTTGTTCTAGGAATCGTTAATCAGTTACTATCGTTCAAAGGCTGGATCCCTTTCAGTAGGCTCACGTACTGTGCTTATCTTTTAAATCCAATCATTATACGGTCAATAAATTTCTACAGCGATACTTCAACGCATTTTGAATTTCTGTCTTTGGTAAGTATACGGATACAACAAATCCAAAATAAATAGAAAATTTATCAATTTTGTTAAATATTTGTTCCCAGGTTATTTTGAGTGTGGCATATACGGCAATCATTTATTGTTGTTCTTACATACTGTCTGTGACGGTGGAGATACCCTGTATCTTGTTAATGAGAGAGTATGCTCCCTGGTGTAAGAACATATTACAAAGTGTTCAAATTAGGAGCCAAAAGCTACGATGACGTCACATTTCGAACACTTTGTAATATTTTCTTACGCCATGGAGCATACTCTCTCATTAAATATTCGGTGTGCACACAATAACACAACATTCTTGTAAAATAAAATCTGTATCTATTGTGTATATTTATCAAAGTTTTTAATAATCATCGAATCATACAATACTTCTACAGTTTATTTTATTTCATTTAATTTATGTATGTAATTGCAACGAAAGAGATTGTTAATAAATTTATTATTTCTGTATACTAGCCATATTCCAACTTATAGACCTACCTATTCATTTTCTACCTACTCATGTTTCAACATAATTGCGCCAGTGGGATTTAATAGGGGTTTCAATCTCGCACATATGCGAGAATGTATATATATAGAAGCATACTCCACCTGAATTGTAACCAATAAAAAGAAATCAAAGTATACTTCGTACAGCACCTTACTTATAGGTACTCCATCAGAGTGGCCAATATTGACCACTTACTTCGTCGTATCTAGTCTTCCTTCGTTGGGCTAGATTGGACATACCTTTCGTTGCTCCCGGCCATACAATCTGGTCATTTTGACCAGAGATCAGAAAGGAAGAAAACTCCTTCCATAGTCGGTTATCGTCACCGACAAATATTTCGTACGGTTCGAATGTACAAGTGTCGATCGTATCGTAAAATGCACGACCACGAGAGATTAATTAAAGAAAAATATTAATTAAAAAAACTTTACTGTATATACGAATCAAATTTATCTTTACTTCCGTTATTTATTTAAAAATATTGACCACCTTCGTAACTTGATCTTTGAATTCGAAATTCACGTAGATATAGAAAAAAATTAA